CCCACACCATGGCCCAAATCCTCCTCACAGAAATTATCCCCAGGTTTGGCCTACCTTCATCCCTACGGTCTGATAATGGCCTGGAATTTATGTCCAAGGTCACCCAACAACTTGTCCAATTCTTAGATACACCCTGGAAATTTCACATTCCATATTGTCCCCAGTCCTCTGGAAAGGTAGAAAGGATGAATAGAATAATCAAAGAAACTCTTACCAAAATATCTCTCGAGGTACATCTGGATTGGACTAAACTTCTGCTGATTGTTCTCCTCAAAGTACGGGCTTTGCCCAGAAAGCCCCTGGGGCTGAGCCCCTTTGAGGTGATGTACAGAAGGCCCATGCTCCCTTCTGGACTCCCCCTGAACCCCCTTCCATACCAAGCTTCCTCCACTCCCCTCTGCTGATGGAACTCTGCAATGCCCTCTGGAAACATGTCAACCACAACTTGCCCACCCCTGACCCCCAAGCCCCCTTGCCCCCTTGACAAATTGGGGACATGGTCTACCTGTCTGATAATTGCCAGGATGACCTAACCCCAAAGTGGCAGGGACCATTCAAAATCATCCTCCTTAACCCAACTGCAGCTAAACTCGAGAAGGTCACCTCCTGGGTACACCTTTCTTGCCTGAAACAGGTCACCTCCGATCCTGGGCTGCCTTCCTTAACTGACCCCTATCAGGTCTCCCTCACAGGACCCACCTCCTTAAAAATCACCCAGCGACAACCCATGTCAACCCTCCGAGAGGACACTGAAAGACCTGGACACTCCTTAACCCACAACTGTTCCCGATCCAACTGCTACAAGACCTCTGGACCAGCACCCTGACCGGAACCTCCTTCGAAGATCTGACCATGCCAGTGTCTCATCTGTGGCTTCAGGGGACCTTCTACAACCTAAGTCCGGAAGAAATTGATTTCTTTACTCTCATACGTGAACACTGTTCCTCCTCAGATTCAAGCAACCACCAACTTGGGGCCTTCCTCCCCTCACCCTGACTGGCCTCTCCCTGTCTCTCTCACTATAACTGCACTCTTGATCTTAGTCCTTGCTATAGGCCCAGTAGCTGTCTCCCCTCAGGATTGGTCACCTATCCTTCGTCTCTTCGTCGGTATCACCTACATTGTTAGCTGTGTTCTACTCCTGTGGTGCTATTTCCTCCACACTGCCTAAGTAACAGACCCATGACTCCCCTGTTCCTTATCCTTGCTGCACTCCCCTGCCTTCTGGCTAGTCCCTGCTTCTGCTCAGACATTTATTCCTATGTTCATTCCTCATGTTATAATATGGCTCCAATACCATGCACCATGAATCTCGGGGGGGCGGAAGTCCAAATCCCCACTCACTGTTAAAAGTACAGAAGAGAGGGAGTTTCGTGAGCACCTGCCATAAACCAAATGGAAGAAACATATGTTTCTATCCCATTACCCACTGGGGACACTCAGACGTGAGTGGCTGCTGCTAAGTCGCTTCAGTCGTGTCTGACTCTGTGCGACCCCATAGACGGCAGCCCACCAGGCGCCCCCCACCCGTCCCTGGAATTCTCCAGGCAAGAGTACTGGAGTGGGGTGCCATTGCCTTCTCTGACGGGAGTGGGGTGCTAGATTAATAGAAACAAGAACAAGTCATAAAGAACATAATTTCCCGGTTACAGGCAAACCCTGAGCCTTATAAATGCCTAGACCTCCTTTCCCAATTACGGCGTCTCCTAAAACCTCCCTCTGACAACCAACACCTTACCCACCTTCTCAGCTCTTCTTTCCAATTCTTCCAGTACACGCGACACACATCCTAGTGTTGGGTATGCGTGTCACTGTCTCCCTCACCACACATAGCAATTCCCTTGCCCTCAACCTGGTTGTCACAGGGCAACTATACTTCCCCTCCTCGACAAAAAACTACACAACTCTGAGCCAGTCTCTGACAAGGTCCTTCTCTCAGCCTCTTCAAACCTAACCTGTATCAATGATTCTAGTCCCAACTACACTGGTCTTACAAACTCCGCTCCCTCTTTCTGTTCCAGTTGGGTTCTCTGGAACAGCACAAATAATTGTACCAACCTGGGACTCTTCATTCTCTGCGGGACCTACACTTATTCATGTTTTCCCCTTGACCCCCCTGGACCTTGCATCTTGGCCTTCCTGACCCCGGGTCTAATATTCCTCAAAGAAGAAGAGATAGAACAAATAGCCTAGCCCCAAGGGGAACTTTCCCACAGGAAAAGACAAGCTGTCATAGCCCCCCACCTGATTGGAACCGGCATAGCAACAGCCCTAGGCACCGGGATTGGAGGCATCTCGACCTCTGCCCATTTGTAATACAAGCTGTCCCAAGAACTTAATGAGGATATGGTGCAGGTAGAGGAGTCCTTCGCTTCAGTCCAAAGACAAATTAACTCATTAGCTTCTGTGGCCCTACAAAATAGGCGAGCCCTGGACCTTCTTACCATGGAAAAGGGAGGGACCTGCCTTTTCCTAGGAGAAGACTGCTGCTATTTTGTTAATGAAATGGGCATAGTCCAGGGCACAGTCAAAGAACTTAGAGACAGAATTGAACGCCGTAGAAAAGACTTACAAAACCTTTACACTCCCCAAAACCTGTTCCAACAGATCCTCCCTTGGTTGCTCCCTTTCTTGGGACCGTTGGTACTTATCATTTTATTCCTCTTATTTGGACCCTGTCTCTTCAGTCTCTTTGAAAGGTTCCTCTAAGAACGGATTCGGGTCATCTCTCCAGGCCAGGTCAAGAGCATTCTTCTTGAGAGCCTCACCCTGACCTCAGGAAAAGGAGACCCTGGGCCCTAGGATGATCCTCCGTTCCAGACCCAGAACCATCGCCCCTATCCAGCAGGAAGTAGCCAGAGAGATACAGCGCCCTTTTTCCCATTTCTTATGATTTCAAGGTCTGGAATGAGGAGTCCTTGGGCCTAGAAAAGAAAACAATGGTCTCAAAGGCCCTGGCTGAATCATCTAACTGCAGAGAAGACAAAACTGAACCTTAAGTCCCACCTTGGTGCTCCGGGCCAGTTGCATCTACCTGGGACTTATCACCCCCTGCCCAGAAACCTCCTACCCCCTACATCTGCCCGGGACTAATCGACCCCTTGCCCAGGGGACTTATCACCCCCTGCCCCAAACCTCCCACCCACTGTGCAACTACAAATGCCGTCTCAACTAAAGATTACCCAAAACGTCCCACCTGATGACGTTTCCCTTCCCGCTTCCACAAACCTCCCTAAATATGAAGCCTCCCTGATCCCTCTCACGCTCAGCCTGGTCATCAGGCCGACTGTCACCCCTCCTTGCCTGAATAAAGGTAACCTACCTCTGTTCAGGTCACCTCTCCTTTTCTGCCTCGGCCCGGAACTATACCTTACAGCATCCTTTTAACGTTTTTCATGTACTTATCTCTTCCAGTCCCGGCTTCCTCCACCTCCACTTCACTTCTTCCCTCTCTGTCTCTTAACCCCTTTCCCTCTTCATTTTCCCATCTTTCTCCTGCTTCCTGACATTTTCCTTTTCTTTTCTGCATGTGGTTGCCCCCGTCTGATTCATCAGTACCAGATAGTGAGCTTCTATCCCTGAGGATGCCGAGGACACCAGAGGGAGTGAGGAACCGCTGCAGAACCACAGTCTTTGCCCTCAAGAAGCTCCACATTCCTTCTGGGACCTCTTATGAAAGGAACCACCTGGTGCAGCTGCTGTTGGATGTCCAGAAATTAGAAGAATATCAATGTCCCAGCATTCGACTATCTGTTGATCCTCACTCATCACTACAACCCAAGTTTTATTGTTGTTTTTGAAGAGTCGCAGCCAACCCAGCCTTCTACAGGCTGCTCGTTCTGCCTTAAGCATTTTCCCAGTAGCCTCTGCTTCTCCCTTCCTCCTCTGGTTTTCTACATTCTCATCTCTCCTCTTTCCACCTACAGAAAAATCAAAGTTGCAGACTTTTCAAACCATTCCTGACACTCTTACATGCCAAGAGAAAGATTTGATGGGACATAGACCTAGTTTAAATGAGCATTGTTTTTTTTCTCCCAGGTCCATCTAGGGTTTCAATAATCCAGATTTCCTTAAGTCTTTTCTGAGCATGAAAAATTTAACAGAGGCTGTG